ACACCTCCAGCCTGGCAGCTGCCCCTAGCTGCTGCAATCCCCTCCTGCAGAGGATCTCTCAGCTTCCTTCCCCAACAGTCTTCCTGCTCCCACCCCACAGTGATGCCCCCTCCAGGATGGGCACTGCCCATTGTGATATCACCTGGCTTAGTCCCATCCCTGGGGAGGTGAGGAGGTGTAATTCCCTCGCTGCTCCTGACCCCCTCCTGCCTCCGGTCTATCAAAAGAGCCCAATTTCTAAGAGTTCAGAGGGCCTCTGGAGATCTTCTAGGTCAGGCTTCTCACTGTTGAAGAGAAACAGAGGTTCTGAGGGGTTGTGACTCACCCAGGGTCATACAACAGGTCAGCGGCATGCCTGGGAAACTGTGGGTGGAGGTGGAGTAACATGTGCACCCAGAGGACTGGTTCTCTCTGCTTCCCATCCCACCTGCCCCTTGCCCATACCCCAGGGAGGGAGCTGAGGCTGGCTTGTTTGATGCTTTTAATATCATTATTCGTGTTACACGATACACAACCAAGGATGATGGTCAATACTGCAATGAAAATGTTAAAAAAAATATTATACACGGCTCATGTCTTCCACACACCTTCCTGGAAATAAATTAGTGAGCACGGAGAAACCTGGCTGGGTGGCAGCCACAGCTGAGAGTAGAGGGAGTGTTAAGGCAGTATCTACAAGGGGCAGGGCAGCAGGAGGGCAAGCTAAGGCCTAGATTCTTCACTCTAACCTCCCAGACAGGGCAGGGGGGAGCCATTCCCCTCCCTAGACACAGAAGCTGCCACTGCCAGCTTCCTGTCTCTCTCTGCCACACATACACTGCTTCAGCTGGAAGCCCTTGCCTGCCAGGGAACTAGTATGTCTGTGGGAGGGAGATTTTCCCTGGTGTCTCAGGGCCACAGTGATTGAACAATGGGCCCAAGTCACATAGCAAGTCAGCAGCAAAGGCAGCAGCCTAAATGAGCCCCCCAAAAGAGGAGGTACCCATGTTCTAGAAAGGTGAGTCAAGGGGCCCCGGGTTGGAGGTGGTAGTGGGAGGCCTGGTTCTGAGATCCAGATGATAGGGGCACAGGGGTTGGGGGGATGTTGATCTAGGGGGGAGAGATGGGCTCAGATGGGGGCTAATATGGGCCTTGTGGGTCCTGCGGGTACCTTCTCTGTCCTTGCCTCCCTTTGGCATTTTCTCATTATCTAACTTGGGCCCCTGCACTAGAGGAGGTAGGGATGGGTTGATGGATTGGGGGTGGTGAGCTGTACCCCAACAGTTTCGAGTTGGCAGTTCCTAGGTATGATGCAGGGAGAGGTGCCACCCTTCCTAGGCCAACAGCCTCACTCCCTCCTCTCATTGCTCCTCATTCCAGCTCCTACCTCCCAGGATTGGTGTCCAGAGAGTGGGCTGTGGGTGAGTCCATGGGAGTGGATTCACCAACATGTGTGGGGTGTTAGCATGGGCTGATCCACCTGGGCCTGTGCTATAAGGTATGTGGGGCACAGGCCTGTGCAGTCTTAGGCCAGCTATACTTTCATTTTTCTTCACACGGTGGCAGGTCTACACTGCCCAGCCCCAGAGGAGGGCCTTCCTCACCTCCTCCCTCATGATTTTCAGCCTCAGCTTTCTTTTCACCCTCCCCTAAGCTATATACACATCTTGACCTACAGATACCCTATGCAGCCACACACAATAGACATCCCCCAACACACATACACATTCACAGACAAACATGTAATCCCAAACAGAGCCACATGTGCTCAGACATACACAGTCCTGATAGGAACTGCCCCTTCCCCTTTCTACAGACACACATGACTCATCCCACCCCAACCTCTTGGTGTACTGAGACACACAGAGATTACCCCCTCCCCACCACAGAAATTCCTATGAAGAAACACTTTCAGGTATAAAAGGATCTTAAAAATAATTTCAGCCGCTGTTCATTTTCTAGCTGAGGAAATTGAAGCCCAGAGAAAGCAAGTGGCTTGCTGAAGATCACAGGGAGGGGTCAGAGCCACCACAGAGAACCCGGGCTCTGACTCCCCACCCGGGGCTCTCAGCCCATTGCACTGCTGAGCTGTCTTCTGCACTGTAAACAGACCACACAGGCACTTCCCCACCAGGGACACCCACATCTATGACAGAAATAGACTGAGGAGAGGCAGGTCCAACAGAGACACACACACACCCACCCCCTGACAGCCTCAGAGATACACACACATTCTGCTAAGCACTCCCTACCACATCCAAATAACCACTTCCATACAGCCACTCAGCCCACTGGATTCTCCAAACCTTGCTCCTGGATTCTTACTGGGAAGCAGCCTCCCAGATCTTGGGCTGGGGTGAGGGGAATGGGCCATTGGAGGCCAGCCTTACTCCCTGCTTCCAGCCTGGCATTGAGACTAATGAGAAGGGGGGTGAGGGTGGGGGTGGGATAGGGTGGTGGCAGAAAGATAGATGCATTGGTGAGGGGCCAATGAGGACAGATCACACTATCCCAACTTCAGCCTGTCTCTAGGCCCACCTCACCTGCCCCACTCCCAGGGAGCAAGGAAGTGGGTGAATGGGGCAAGAGGAGGAAGAAGGCAGTGATCCAGTGAGTGAGGGGCACTACCGTGAAGGGCAGCTTTGCCAGGCTTCCCATCTGAGGAGGAGGAAATGCAAATAGAAACATGGGCCCTCAGGGGGCATGTGAAGGGGGCTCCGAGGTGCTGGGATCCGTCCCCACTGCCCTGGGCCTTTCTCCCTCCGAGCCCCTTTCCTGGTTGAGGCTGAGGCCAGGGCTGGGGGGTTCATGGCTTCGCTGGGGTGGGGCCAAGCCCCTGGCTTTGTGATCCCCCCACTTGTTAATGGTGACCTCCCTGACGTCCAGTCTTCTCTCTCCACCACTGGACTCAGCCCTGGGAAGCGGGGCAGGGTGCTGGGTGAGATTCCCCCAGGTAACTGAACAAACGGCCCCACCCCTCCTCAGCCCCCGGGTGGAGAGAGACCTGATTTTGGTTTCTCCGGCTCCATGAACACACAGAGGTACACGTCCTACCATAGGAGGAAGCAATGACTGTTACGAGGTTGGTGGCTGCAGGGGTGTGGGCTGGGGACAAGCAGACGAGCTGGGGAGGGGTCGGCCTCTGCCCGTCCTACCCGGCCCTTGGCGGCTCTGCCCCGGCGGCCACAGTGGCCTTGCCTGCTACTGAATGTGGCAGGCGGTGGAGGATGTGGCCTGGCAGCACATGCAGGTGGGGTTCACAGACTTGGGGGGAATGAGGTCTAGGTCCTCATCGTCGGGGATCTCATCTAACCGGTAGCCGTCCTTCAGCAGCTGGATGTTCAAATCTTGGTTGATCTGCTGTAGGCAAAGGGGAGGGAGGTCAGGCCCAAGCGGCAGGGAGGCACTACCCACGGCTCTGCGGCCACTCCAGGTGGTCTATGCCCCAATCCAGATGGTGAGCACTGCCCTGTCCCCCGTCTGTCCATACCCCTAGACCCTACTCCTGCCCAGGCACCTCCCTTCGCCTCTGGACTCCCTCTCTTTCTAGTCACCCCTCCCCATTCTAAGGTCAACTTCATACCTCTGGTCCTGCTTCTATTCGGGTTTTGCCCCTATCAGGCTGGCTATCACCTGTATTTCACAGCGTTTCACATCGTTCTATTTAAGTAGCCTGCTCCAATCTAAAGCCCCGCTCCTAACCTTGGGCTCCCTGTACTTGAGGCCAGTGACAGCTTCTTTTCCATCCTATCCTAGGCCCACCCTGTGCAGGGTACCACCCAGCCCTGCCCAGCCCTCTTTTTCCATGTACTTGGGATAGCAGTGATCCTGTCTGGTGATGTCTAGGGCGGAAAGGGGTAGGGGCTCACCTCAGCAGAGGAGTAGCCAGAGGAGGAGTATCTGGACATGTCAAAGTCATCATCGCTGGCCATGGAGGAAAGAGAGGGAAAGTGATTCCAAGAAATTAAGTAGAAAACTCTCTGCAATCCCATCTCCCCATTAGTCAGTATCCCACACCTCCTTCATAGTTCCAAATAAACAGCAAAATCTCAATAAAAGCCATGCCTGCTATGCAAATGCAGAATTTTTAAAGACAAGTTCCCTAGCTCCACCTTTGAAAATAAATTGCTAACCTTAACCTCCTTTGAAATATAGCAGGTACTCCTTTTGCCCCCTTCCTTCTCACCATTTTTTTCCCTAGACTCAAATCAACCTGACTTGCAGAGTTTTCTCAAAGTCCAAGTCTAGCCAGGTGTTTTCCAAGAACTAGGGCTCCTCCCTGAGGGGGTGGGGCATTAAGCATCACATTTTGCTAGCCAGGGACCACATCACAGGCCAGTTAGGGACAACCATTGGATCAGTTGTCCCAGCCTGACAGCAGACAGCATAGGCCCCCCTTTCCTCTCTCTGCCACCTCCCTTAAGCCTTTGGTCCCTGCCACTATAAAAAAAAAATTCCAGTCCCGGGAGAATTCACCCTTGGAGAGATTCTGGCTGAAGAATACTCCAATTCTGACATTATAGCAGGTATGGCCTGTATGGCCCACTTGTGCAACACAGGTTCCTTTGGTCTGCCCAGCTGCCCCCAGGCCCCCATACACACCTGTCTGTGTCAAGGGCTACCAGTGGCTTCTCATCTGGGCTCTGGTCAAGCGAGGAGTAGCCTTTATTGGGGACGACCAGCCTGGGTGAAGAATTTTGGGAGTTGGAGTGGCAAGTGTAGCATATAAACCTGGCAAGGGACTAGGTTGGGCCCCGTCCTACCACTTCCTTCCTTCCCTCCCTCCCCACCTTGGATCCTGTTGAGGCTGTCTCCTCTCAGAGAGGAGCTGGGCCTGAGGAGGGAGGGAAAAGGGGGAGGCTCAAGACCAGCAAAGATAGTTACTGGCTGGCAGGCTCCAGGTGGGGTAGGGAGGGCCTCTACCTCGTTCGGGCCATGACATTGTTCTTCTTGGGTTGCTGGTTGACAGGACTACCCATGCTGCCATTCTTCAGGGAGCCCTTCCGGGCCAGCTCCCGCTGCTTCTCTGCAGAAAAACATGGGAAGGAAGCTGTGTCTTGCCCCTGAGGCCACCCTGCCTTACCACTCAGGACAGCCTGGGCTGGGCCTCCACTGTGAAACCAACTGCTCCTAGAAGGACTGAGGCAGGGACCCCAACTCTAGGCGCCTGCTGCTTGGTGGATATAGTACCTGGCCCTGCACAACCTGAGGCAGACAGTTGGGGGGAAAAAGAGGAGGCTGCCCCCTGTTTTCCAGGAACCACAACTCCCATGTCTAGTAGTTAGTGGGTATTTGATGCCAGGGAAAGGCTGGAGAGGGAGAGACAATCACAGAAGGATGGGACAGTCAGAGAGGGCTTCCTTTAGGTGATACCATGACCTGAAGAGAGGTGGGCATTATAGGAAGGGATAATATGTGCAAAAATGAATTTATAAGTGAGCACAAATGTGGCTTTGGATACAGGGGTGAAGAGAGAGGTCAGGTTAGAGAAGTAAAATCCATTTATTCAGTCACTTATTCATTCAGCAAATATCCATGTCACTAATCATATGTCAGTTTCTGTGCTTAGGGGCTGAAGACTCTCTCTGGTTACAAACTCAGAACATGAAGGACTTGAATGCCAGACGGAGTTTGGGATAAATGCAGAAGGAAAAAGGAGCCACTGAAGGTTGTGATGTGGGAGGGGCAGAATTGGGCTGCAAGGTAGTGGGCAGGAGGTTGGGGGAGCATATTTGGCTATACTGCCTGAATGGTGTTCCTGACTCCTTTGCCAAGGTCTGAGTTCTCCAAGACTCCAGAGCCTACTAGATTCATGGGACTGGCCATCAGGTGACCCACTCCACTGCCTGGTGTGTGACAACTGTTACAATAAGTAGCTGCCTGGGCCCTGGAGGAGCCCATCTACCCTTCCCTACTCAACTCAAGTAAAGCCCAGATGTTAGGTGGAGAGGGCCTCTAGGGAAAATGTCTCATAAAATAACCAAATGCTCCAGAGGGTAAGGATGAGAATGACCTTTACAGATACTGTGACTTACTTTGAAATTTCCCCTGACCTCATGTCTCTGAATCTCTGTCTCCTATGCTTTAACCCTCTTTCTTTGCCACTGCTCATCTGATTCCAGCTTTTTCCCAGCTTCTTTCCAGCAGATGGCAGATGCCATTACCACTCCAGGCCTCTAGGGGGTGCAATTTGCCTTAAAGTTCATGGTGGTACTTGGCGCAACGGGGCAATGCTGTGAATTTTCAGGAGCAGCTTTGATGGTAATGTAATGGGGAGAAAAAAAGATGTTATTTTAAAAGCATGCTAAAATTGTTTGAAACAGTGGGAAAAAGCAAACAATAAACTGGCAAAAGCAAACTACAGACTACTATACAACCATTTAAAAGAATGAAGTCACTTTCTATATGCTGACATTGGAAGGAGCTCCAAGAGTTAAGTGGTGGGAGAGGGAAGGCCAAGTTTCAGAAAATGTGCACGATATGACACCACTTATGTTAAAATACAAAGTAAAACTACAAAAACTAAAAAGGCTTGGAATAGTTACCTCTTAGGAGGAGAATGTAATGGGGGAGAGTAAAGAAGTTATGCTTGTTAAAATACTTGTTACATTAAACAATAATAGGCTGGGCATGGTGGCTCACACCTGTAATCCCAGCACTCTGGGAGGCCAAGGTGGGCAGATCACTTGAAATCAGGAATTCAAGACCAGCCTGGCCAACGTGGTGAACCCCTATTTTTAGTAAAAATACAAAAATTAGCTGGGTGTGGTGGTGTGTGCTTATAATTCCAGCTACTTGAGAGACTGAGGGAGGAGAATCACTTGAACCTGGGAGGCAGAGGTTGCAGTGAGACAAGATTGGGCTACTGCACTCCAGTCTGGGCAACAGAGCAAGACTCTGTCTAAAAAACCCCAATAATAAATAAAATTGGCTGTAGTTTTAAACTGATGTCCTAGGATTATGAACACATTCCACTGAGAGAACTGTTCTTGTTTAGAAAAACAGCTCAAGAGGCTCCCTAGGTGTGGTCTAGAAGGAGAGAAGCAAGCAAGGTAAGAAAAAAAAATAGTAGTTGAATAATAAAAGTATAGGCCTCTGTAGAAAGGAGGGAGGAAGTTGTAGTGAAAGGGCCTTTCAGACTGAGGAGGCAGCAGTAATTGTTGGGCGGCAGGAGCCTGTGGAGGAGGATGGACAGGAGGGTGCCTCGGATGGCAGAGGAGCATGGAAGGATAGTCATGACCTATATTTAATTGTAAACTCTTTCCTGTATGTCCTATTTTGTAATTTCTCTTCAAGAAACCAAAGTTTTCATAGAAGTGTATTATTTACAGCAGCTGTGAGACAGTGAAACTTTGGTCCCTGAAGAGAGAGGGGCAACACGTGGGGTGAAGGGAGAGCAACAGTGACAGGAGCTGTGGACAGTAGCCAGGAGCAAGGGGACTTCACAGGATCAGGCTGCACAGTAAACTGACTTTGGAGTAGACATGAGACAAAACCACAAGGGAAACGTGACCTGGAAAGAAGGGGAGATATTTGGGTTTTCTAAGAAATGAAGGGGAAATTCCCCCAAATAGTGCCAACTAGGCCCTGAGATCTCTAGATGGGCTCAGGCTATAATCGGGAGAAGGGCTTGGCTTCTAGGGTTGGAACCCTCATTCCTTTCTATCCCTTAGACGTAGCAAGTAACACCCTACCTCTAAGGCAGCCTGATCAAGTGTTTGATGGGACTTTCAAGTCCTCTCTCTGGGATTTCATGCTTTTCCCCTTGCAGCTATCCCCTGGAATACCTGGAATATTCTTGGCTTCAGAGATGCCTCCTAGAGTTTCAGCCTCCTGCAGAGAACTGTAACTGCCCTCTTTGCCTGCAGGAGACAAGGTGCCTGGCAGTGCCAATGACTTGAAGGCTTGAGTCTTGGAATCATCTAGGCTGAGCTGGTTTATCTGTGGCACCTCATTGTTGACCCAGCCCAGAGCACCTTGTCTACTCCCCACATCTCCCTCACCCCCCAGACACACTCACCCAGCTTCACTTGGAGCGGGGATGGTTTGTAATTCATGGCTACTGACTCACCCTCCCGGGCGTCACAGTCTCCGTCTGAGATGGAGGCGGCGGCTGGGTCCTGTGGGGAGAAAGCAGTAAGACAGAGAGTTGTTAGAGAGTGAAGACAGGGGGCTGCTATCAACCCTGAAGCTAGCCTTCCCACCTGCCCCCTAGGTCTGTGAGCATTCACCCCTGACAGCAGGCAGGGCATTCAGGGAGAGAGGGTAAACCCATCTACTGTGGGACAAAATCACTGGGCTAGGTAGAAGAACCTACCTAGGTAAGGAACTGGGTGTCTGTCCTCAAAGTCCTGTATGGTCCAGCCTCCTTCAGAAAGCCCACCATGATTTCTTTAAACTCACAGGATTTCCTTCTCCTAACTCCCATATTAGTAGCCCTTCCCCTCAGGCCTTTTCTGTGTACTTGCTTAGCAAGGTCTTTCTAGGTTCCTGTCAGTTTAAGTCTAGGTTAAGGGGAGAGTAGTGTTCTCTGAGATGGGTCTTCTCCCTCTGTTTCCCAGTGCTAAACAGGTGCCTTCACAGGATCCAGAGAACTGACTGGCCAAGCCACACCAGCTTTCAAGGCTACAGCCATTGGACAAAAAGAGATCTAATGAGGACTTCTCCAGTTCACAAATTATACCTAAAAAGTTCTCCTGGGAGAACCTAAAAGGTTGGCTAGGTATGGTAGGTGAGAAGACAAATACTGATAAACCAGCAGGTGGCCAGTTAGTCTTTTGCTGCCCAGAGTGCAAAACACTTGATTCTACAGATGGCCAGGAAGATAGGAAAGTACACATTCTGTGTATTGTTCTCAGTCTGGAACCTCTGACATCCTCCTCACTGCCCTCTCTGCTAACTTCCTCTCACAGGGCTGGGCCTTGGGCTGTCCAGAGTCCTTTTTGTGATAGGACTCTGTCACCTAGGTTGGAGTGCAGTGGCAAGATCTCAGCTCACTGCAACCTCGGCCTCCCGGGTTCAAGCAATTCTCCTGCCTCAGCCTCCTGAACAGGTGGGACTACAGGCGTGCACCACCACGCCCAGCTAATTTTTGTATTTTTAGTAGAGATGGGTTTCATCATATTGGTCAGGCTGGTCTTGAACTCCTGACCTTGTGATCCACCCACCTCAGCCTCCTAAAGTGCTGGGATTACAGGCATGAGCCACCGCACCTGGCCCAAAGTCCTTATCTAGCCTTGCCATCCCCTCACAAACACCCTTCTCTGCTGCAATATCTAGAGCCCTGGCCCACCCTGCCTCAGTCAGCTGGAGGCAGCTGAGGACATCTGCATTCTTCCTGAGACTCTGATGGCCAACCATGGATAGGGCTGATGACATCCTAGTTGTCTTTGCATTTTAACCAGGGCCTGTAGAGTGCTAAGCCTAAGCTGTGAGGAGTGCAGAGGGGATCCAAGGCTGCTGCCTGTTCTGCCTCTGAGGATGCAGGGAGTAGACAGATGGGCATGTAGAATGCTGCCACGGTGTCAGGCCCAGGGATCTGAGTGACTGCTGGTGATCCAGCAAGGGAAGGATATATAACCATTATGGTGACTTCTGTTCCCTTTAAAATGAGGCAGTGGGAATGAAAACATGCTTGTCACTAAGGGGAAAGGGAAAAGTCTAGAATGTTTGGGAGGGAAATCTTGGCCTTGTCTGTGTTCCTTCAGGCCATCCAGAGCACATCCTTAGCCCTGACTGAGTAGAAGAGCAGGAAGCTTTGCTCAGAAAGAAAGGCTGAGTGCTGCAGTCTCTGCATCTTGGGCCATTTCCCATGCTGCAAGTCCTTCATCCTCCCTGGCTGAGCAACCCTCTTGAGAGACTCATAGCACCTGTGCCACACAGTCTTGGAGAAGCAAACCTCTAGTGGCCCTGAGATGCCTCTCTGTAGCCAGAACACCCTCTCAGCTGCTACCTGCAGGGGAGGTGGAGATGGAATAGCTGGGCTCTGAATTTCCTGTGGGCCTCAGAAAGTGCTCACTGAAAAGCAGCCAGAGGGAAGTGTTTTTAAAGGACAAATCCCATAAACACGCTGGTGGGACCCTACCAGGGCAGTACTGGCACATTTCCAAGTCCCAAGTCACATTGCTTCGCCTTTTTTGTAGCATTTGTCACATGTCACATATACCACATGCATTTGGAAAAGGCTTCCTCCCTTGGCTCATCTCTTGCCTCTTTGACCATCATTTCTCTGTTCTCCTACAACCCTTTGCCTCCTCTGTAGGGTGCTGCCATCGGCCCTCCTCTCTCTCCTTGGGAAGCCCTCATGTCTCCTATAGTTCGGATTGGCATTTTTATATTGATGACTTCTAAATCTTTTGCCTTTCAATCCTGCTTCTCCTCCTTAACCCTCTACCTCATCTATCATATGAGAGTGTTATGCCTCACCATTCCTTCTCTAGGGCTGATTTTTAAAAACACAAGCCCTTAGACACTTGGGGCTAACTTTGTACTCTTCAGTGCAGATGACTTCATCAGAGTTTCTTCTTTCAGTCTGGAGTACTGGGTATAAATGGTAACATGGGAGGTAGATTGTGCAGGAAGGACAGGGCCTGGGAAGCCATTGAGCAACTCTGGTCACAGGGACCTACATGTGGCCCTTGAGGCCTACTGGGCAGTTCCAGGCGGTATGTGATCCTGAATGAAACTGCCAACTCCTTTGGGCCATGACTCAGGGTGGTCCTGACCAGGGAGCAGAGCCCTAGGTTGAGAGGCCCCATGCAAAGCCCACCATCAGCATCTCCTCCATCACTATCCATGATAGAAGGCCACCTTAGTGGCAAGCACAAAGATCTCTGGCACTGTGCCTGCAAACTTAAGCCTTTACTGTGAGCTTCCTCTGTGTCTTCCCTTAGAAATGCAGCCAATGCATCACAACCATCACATGGCAATGTAATCAGGGAGATTAAATGTAAAATATTCATGAATGTAAGTATCAGAAAAGACTCCAGGCAGAAGGAAGTGCCTGGCTCCAAGAAATCAGGGAGAATTTAAAGTGCACCCCAAGGACATCTGGAGGCGTTAGCTAGATCCGGGAACTAGAGTGGGGATTAACAAGATTATTAATAAACACTCAGCAGAGACAGACATTGAAATGCATCTCTAACAGCAGCCCATGTTTCTGCAACCCTTCAAATAAATTCTCCAAAGACTACAGAGATGATTAATAGCCCAGCCTCACTGTTTCTGGGACAGGATATATAGGCTAATGGCCAGTGCAAAGCCAATATAGCTAGAGGAAGGCAAAAGCATCAGAAGACTCCTTAGAATCATAATAGTTTGGTCCACTGATTTTCATTAAACTGTGTTCCCTGAGTGACTGTGAGGGGGAACAATAGGATGGGGGTCTGGCTTCCCTTTAACAAGGGTAGATTCACCTTTTTTTCATGTATGTATCAGCCTCTTGCAACATTTTGTTGGAGAAAATGTTTTATTTTTTTTAAAGGTTAAAATCTTTGATTTTAAATCTTTAAAAATGTTTTATTATGGAAATTATTATAGCAAGTAGAGAAAACAATGTAGTGAGATCATGGGTACCTATCAACGGCTTCAACAAATATCAACTTATCAACCCATTCTTTTTAAAAATGAGGAAAACTGGGCCCAGAGGGGAAGTGTCTTACCCAAGGTCAATGATGGAGTCAATAACCTTTCAAAGCATGTAGGGAGGGACATAGGGAAGAGAACATGACTTGGGCTTGGAGCTAAAGACAGGCCCTCTGGGAGGCTGATCCTTTCCTGCAGGCCCAAGCATCAGTCTGTATATTAACCTCTTCCCTTGCCTCCCTGCCCCAGGGCTGTACCAATTCATGAACTGTCTTTAGCTGGCTGGCCTTACTTATTGGAGCTGTGGGTAGTACAGTCAATACACTTGTAGGCTGGGACCTAAGAGATCCCAGAAAAGCAGTATAGAATTGGGTGGGTAAAAAAGGGAAACAAAGGAAAAAACCAAGTGTAGAACCTTCAAGGCTCATGCCTGGAGTCTTAAGAAGGAGGACCTGGAGAAGTAGATGGAAGAGTCTGCTTTCCCGAATGACTCGCAGACCTTTACGGGCTACTCTGGGAGGACTCTGGGTGGCAAAAAAGAAGACTCGTAGCGGGTCTTGTAGTTCCTAATGTACGTCTTCAGATCCATGAGCTCATCTGATTCATATAAGTACCTGGTAGACATGTGATTGCCTCCTCAACATTCAAATTATACTCCTCCTCCACTGGGCAACAGACATATGGCTTGGATAGGCTGACCTCACTCTCAGTGCTAAGGGGATGCTCTGTTAAAGGAAGACAGTCTACACAATCCCATCCTCCTTGCCACACAGACTGAAAGGAATAGTGTTTTTTTATTGTGGTTTTTTCTTTTCTTTCTTTTTTTTTGAGATGGAGTTTCACTCTTATTGCCCAGTCTGGAGTGCAATGGCATAATCTTGCCTCACCGCAACTTCCACTTCCTGGGTTCAAGTGATTTTTCTGCCTCAGCCTCCTGAGTAGCTGGGATTACAGGCATATGCCACCACGCCTGGCTAATTTTTTTTATTTTTAGTAAAGATGGGGTTTTTCCACATTGGTCAGGCTGGTCTTGAACTCCTGACCTCAGGTAATCCACTTGCCTCGGCCTCCCAAAGTGCTGGGTTTACAGGCATGCGCCACTGCACCTGGCTAACTGAAAGGAATATTGTAATGGTTAAAAGTACAGGTTCTGGAGCCAGAGTGCCTAGGTTCAAATTCCAGCTCCTCCAGTTACTAGCTGTACTATCTGGGTTTCGGCTTCCTCTTCTGAATATGGGACTAACACTATACCTAGGGCAAGGGTTCCTGTGAGGATAAAAGGAGGTAATATGTATTAAGCAGTTAGAATAGTCCTTAGCATAGTATATCCTGAGCACTATATCCATGTTAACTATAAAGATATCACTAGTATAGATTCAGTGAGGCCTACACTACCATGGTCAGTGTGCATTAGGAATGGCTGGCCTGCAGCTGCAGCCCTGATACCACCACATAGGCTGGGGCCTGGCTTATATATGGAGGTATCTGTGGAAAAGGTACACCCTTCTTAGTATGAGTAAAGGCCTGACCACAGGGCACACTATTTCTTCTCTTCCCTCACTCCAGTATGATACAATTCTTTCATCTATTTAATGATGCTAGGGCTCACAAATATAAATAGAAAAGAGTCCCAGCTGGGCATGCTGGCATGCACCTGTAGTCCCATATACTAAGGCAGGAGGATCACTTAAACTGAGGAGTTCGAGTCCAGTCTGCACAACATATTGACATATTGAGACCCTGTCTCTAAAAATAAAAGGAAGAAAATAAAACAGTCCTATTTTTAAGAAGCTCCCAATAATTATTAATAGAGGTAACCAAGAGCTATATAAAAGTAGAGGGAATGGGACAAAGGGAGGATGGTCAAAGGAGACACTTGAAAAGATCTCAAAACATTAGGTCACCAGTTAGTTTAAGAGCGAGGAGTAAGGACATTCAGGGAACATGTGAAAAGTCTCAGAAGCATGACACTATAGCACAGTACATTCAAAGAATAGTTGGCATTTTGCTATAGTTGAAACTTAGAAGGTATGCTAAAAGATTGCAGGAAATCAAGTCGGCGGAGTCAGGAGGGGGCTCAGATCATGCTGGAGGGTGGGCTTTGATTTCTTCCTTTAGTTAGAAGATGATAGGATGCCA